ATAAATGATTAACTTCACAAACTGACAGGCACCTGAAACTTCCTGTTAAAAGTTTGCAACCCAGCCCGGCAGATAGCCTGGTATGCTGTCAGCAGGGGAGGGCATTAGAATCCGCAGCACATCGACATTATTAACGAAAAGCGAACATAGGTGGTGGCCTCTGAGCCAGGTCCTGTTGTAAGAAAATGTGTCTGTAGAAAACCCATTGCCGTTGACTCAATTATGACTTAAGGGCAACCCCGCGCGTTACAGAGTAGAACTGCCCCCAAGGGTTTTTTTTGGCTGTCATCTTTACTGAAGCAGATCACCAGGTCTTCTTCTGTGGCACCACTGGATGGGTTCAAACCTTTAGGTGAGTAGTTGAGCACAAACTGTTTGCGCCACCTAGGGACCTGTCTGTAGAAAGGCGACCTTGTGTGGGGGTCAGTGATGAGCCCAGGACCTGCCTGCTGCAACAGCCCGCACTGCAGCATGTGCAGACTGACGGAGACACCTTGGCAGTCCTCCTTCTGTTTCTCTGCCAAGAAATTTTATTCTAACTTTGGAGGCTTTCCTTTCCCTGCCAAAGCGTGAGTAATTGGATTTGGTAAGGATCCCTCTGTTCAGAGCCTTTTTTGGGCACAAGAGTCTAGCGATGTTGTTGATGATTTTTCACAGCGATGCTCTGGTGTCACAGCAGACTGTGGCTTGGTCCCGGCTGACTGATAAATTCATATGAGCTACAGTCCTTGAAAATTTATTAAAAATCCACATCTTCTAACCAAAGTTTACCTCAGAGTAAAAAAAAGCTCTTAAGAAAGCGTGGCAGTATCACAGCAAAGTAATGAAAATCTCGAGGCAACCATATAATGCCACAAAGCACGGTCTCATTCTCTGAACACTAAAATATTCAGAGTTAATCTGAAACCTGGCTCTACTTAGCTAACCTTCAAGTGCCTACACCATCAGGACTTCGGAAGTTTGACAAGTGAGTCATTGTAGGTGAGGTCAATTAAAAGATGCTGTAGAGTAATTAAAGTTCAAAAGAGATGGGAAGACAAGGAACATTCTTCAAATGCTTTGAAACAGAGGGATCAATAAACTCAGACCGCCTTTTCTCCTTGTTTTCCTTCAAACATTTACCAAGTTTAGTATGATTCCAACCCCATGGTAGAGAGCAGGGAGGTCCCTGGGTAGGACAAACAGTGAAGAACTTGGCTACTAACCAAAAAGGTGGCTATTCAAATCCACCCAGAGGCACCTTGGAAGAAAGGCTTGGTGACCTACTTCAGAAAAATCAGCCA